AGCAGCAGCAGCAGCAGCAGCAGCAGGGGGTGCGGCGAAGGGGTCCTCTGGGGAGCTGGGGCCGGCTGGCGAGGCGGAGCCGCAGACGGCCCTGGGAGGCCTGCTGCGGCTGCAGCAGCAGCAGCAGCAGTTGCAGCAGCAGCTGCAGCAGCAGCTGCAGCAGCAGCAGCGGCGGCGCGCCGCAAAACACTTCAGAGCCACCGCGGGCCAGCCCTCGCTGAAGGAGCTGCAGTCCATGACTGTCGACAATTCTGTCATTTGTCTCATTCAAGGATCTTCAATTGTCTGGGAACTCAAAGACGGAGTTTACCCCATTTACGTCAAGGTGAGCCAGCCCCCCTGCGCAGCAAGTGCAGCAGCAGCAGCAGCAGCAGCGGCGCTGGCAGCTTCTTCCGCGCTGCTGCAGCAGCTCGCGCTGCTGCTGCTGCTGCGGCGGCGGCTGCTGCCGCAGCTTGGCGCTGCTGCGCGCTTCTGCTTCTGCGCCGAAGCAACTTTAGCGCTGCTGCTGCTGCTGCTGCTGCTGCTGCTGTTCAGGACTCGCTTTTGAATTCGAGTCAAGACTTTGACTGGACGGGGTTCCGGCAGCTGGCAGCAAAGGCAGCAGACACGGGAGTGGGAAATGGAATTGGGCCTTCTTTTTTTATGCACACTTTCGACTCGGAAGGGACTTTTGTTTTTGCGTCTTCGGCGCAAAACTCCAAACTGTCTCTCGTCAAAGTCCTGCCCCCCGGCATGCAGTGTCCCGCAGACACGGGGTGAGTCTGCAGCACTTGTTTTCTTTATTTATGCCTTTTGAACAGCAGCAGCAGCAGCAGCAGCAGCAGCGGGCCAGCGGTGCTGCAGGAAGTGCGCAGCCAGGCCCAGCAGTCACTTCTAAATAGTGCTAGAGTTGCACGGACACAGTGTTTCCTGCCCATTTGGCCTTGGGGCTTTGTGGGGCTTGTAAGAGAAAACGCATGCATGCACGCATGCGTGCATGCATGCATGCATGCATGCGACTGCGCGCAGATACCCCACTCCCATTCGGCTGCGTCAGCTGAGTCTGCTGGCCATCTCGCTGACTACCAGCGAAATAATTCTTGACCCTGATTGGCTGCTGCTGGTGGGGCTGCTGCTGGGGCTGCTGCTGGTGTGCCTTTTGCTGCTGGGGCTGGCTGCGCGTTTCCTGCGGCACCGCTGGCCCGCTGTTGCTGCTGCTGCTGCTGCTGCGCGGGGCCCCCTGTGCCTCCGCAGCTGCAGCGAGCTGCTGCTGCACCGCAGCAAAAGGGCCCTCAGACGCAGAGCAGCAGATCTCTGCAGCAGCTTCCTCAGGCCTTCGGGCCCCACACGCATTTCCCACTTCCGAGTCCGCAGCGAGTTGCAAGAAGTCCTTGACAACACTGTGAGTGGTTTAGCATTTTTGGCTTTTCTCCAAAGTTCAAAAATCTATTTAATCCATTTTTACTGCTCTTTAACACTGAAGTTGTTCCAAGAAAGACCTTCGCAGCCACGGGAGTGCATGCAGCTGCAGCCAGAGCTGCTGCGTGCGTTTTTGCTGCTGCTGCAGGAGCAGCAGCAATATGACCCTTTGGCGGACATCAAGCCCGCGCTGGATCGTCTCCACGTCGAAATAGATATTCAAGACCTCCGCGTTGTGCAGGTGAGGAGAAAAGGGACAAAAAGAAGGCACTTTTAAATTTAAAAAGCGGAAAAAAAGAAAAAAAAGAAAGAAAACTAGAAGGGCCCCTCTCTGTGGCATTTGTAGAATGATTCTCAGTGAGGGGTGCTTTCTTGCATGCGTTTGCGCCTCAAAATGCCTCGATTGCATGCAGCCCCAAGCCCCGGAAGTGGCTGCATGCGTTTCGCGTGAGAGCTTGCAGCTGCATGCGCTGCATGGGTTTCCGCGCCTTTGGAGCGCATGCAGAGGGCTGTGGGGCCCTCCCTAAAAGCCCCATTCACGCAAAGCCACTTTTCTGGATTTTGCACGCAGGCAACTCTGGAGAAGCTGTGCGACATGCGGGCAGCAGTCTCAGCAATCTTAGATCAAGAAATGCAAAAAGAAAAAGAGACATGTGCAGAGGCAGCTGAGCTGGTGAGTGTCTCCAATTTTTTTGAAAAGAAGTTCAACCATTGCCAGCGCCCAGGATGGACTCTGCGGGCAAAGAGTCTTGAAGTTTTTCTCATATTCCAGTCCCATAGTTCAAGTTCCACAGTCTTGGAGTTTATTTCAAATTCCAGTCTCGAAATATATTTCAAATGCCACAGTCTTGAAGTGTATTTCAAATTTCACAGTCTTGAAGTCTATTTCAAATTCCACGGTCTTGAAGTCTATTTCAAATTCCACAGTTTTAAAATATATTTTAAATTCCAAAGTCTTGAAGTATATTTCAAACTGCACGGCCTTGCAATAACATATTTCAAATTCCACAGTCTTGAAATACATTTAAAACTTCACTGTCTTGCAATATATTTCAAATTCCGCAATCTTAAAATGCATTTCAAACTCCACAGTCTTCCAATATATTTCAAATTCCAGTCTCGCAATATATTTCAAATTCCGCAGTTTTGCAATTTATTTCAAATTCCAGCCTTTAAATATATTTCGAATTCTACAGTCTTGCAATATATTTCAAATTCCACAGTCTTGAAATATATTTCAACTTCCAGAGTACATTTCAAACTCCAGATTCTTGAAATACATCTCAGATTCCAGAGTCCCGAAATATATTTCGAGTTCCAGAATACATTTCAAATTCTAGATCCTCGGAATAGATTTCAAATTAGAGAGTATACTTCAGACTCCAGAATCTTGAATTTGATTTCAAATCCAGAGAGGTCAAAGGGAAGAGTTTGTGGGCTTTGTTGGGATTTGCTGCTGCTGCTGCTGCTGCAGGTGGAGAAACTGCTCAAGTCGCTGCAGCAGCAAGTGGAGAGTGCAGAACTGAAGGGAACTTTGCCTCTGCGGAGTCAGCAGGTGACGGCGCTGCTGCGCTGCATATTGGCTGCGCTGCAGGGGCCGGAGCAGCGGCAGGCAGCAGCAGCAAAGCTGCAGCAGCTGGAGGAGCAGCTCAAGAACTTGCCGGGGCAGCAGCAGCAAACTTTCAAAACTGCAGAAGCCAGCAACAGAGAAGCAGAAATCCTCAGAAGCTGCGTCGCAAAGGCCGGCCCTTCTGTCTACGACTCCCTCGACGCAGCCATCAGAACTGCCAAGGAAGTACGCTGCCAACCTGCTGCAGCAGCAGCGCAGCACAGCAGCAAACCAAAGCAGCAGCAAAGCAGCAAAGCAGCAAACCAAAGCAGCAGCGAAGCAGCAAAGCAGCAAGCCGAAGCAGCAGCAGCGCAGCAATGTAGCAAACCAAAGTAGCAGCAAAGCAGCGAACCAAAGTAGCAGCAAAGCAGCAAGCCGAAGCAGCAGCAGCGCAGCAAAGCAGCAAGCCAAAGCAGCAGCAGCAGCCTCTAAAGCTCATGAACTATCCCCATTTTCCTCGTTTGAAGTGCAGCAAGCAGCAGCAGCAGCTTATAAGACATGAATTTTCCTTTTTTTTCTTTCTTGAAGTGCAGCAAACAGCAACAGCAGCTTCTATGGCTCATGAATTTCCCGTCATTTTCTTCTTTGAAGTGCACCAAGCAGCAGCAGCAGCTTCAAGACTCATGAATTTCTCCTTTTCTCTTTTTTGAAGTGCAGCAGGCAGCAGCAGCAGCACTTCGAAGGCTCGTGAATTTCCTCTTTTTTCATTTTTGAAGTGCAGCAGGCAGTTCTTGCGGGTGTTGGAGTTGAAGTCGAGGCCCTGAGTTTCGGACTTGTGCGCTGCAGAGCAAAGACTCGACAGCGGAGGCCAAAGAAGCCACTGTGGAGTTCGCAGCAAAAGCCACTTCGGACTTGGAGGGCCAGCGGCACTTCATGTTGGCTTCCGTTTACGACTTGCAGCTGAAGCAGGAGGCGAAGCAGACGGCGGGGCGTTTCAAGAGTTTGTTGTATTTGCACCGCCACGTGGACCTCGCCGAGCGCAGGAAACTCGAAAAGAGCGAAGCTTTCAAAACCCTTCTTGCAGTTTCTCGCCAAGAGGTCTTCGAACTCCAAGAAGCACACAGCAGCAAGATCCTCGAGTGGCAGCAAAACGCGCTCGTTCAGAGAGTCAGGGAAGACGACAGGTAAGCCCATTTCGCCTTTTCATCTTTCTAGTTTTGCTGCTTTGCATGCAACAGCAAGTGCGGTTTCTCCCAAAATGCTGCTCCCCAGGTCTCAAACAAAAAGGCAAGTTGAAAAAGAAATTGTCTGTTGTCTGCAGAATGCTGAAGGAACTCTCAGGGCCTCTCGGCCGGGCCTTCCAAGAGGTGCTTTGCATGCACTGACGGAAAGAAAAAAACGAAAAAACCAAAATGTTCAAGATTTGAGTTTCCACCTTTCACTCATCATTTCGAAAACGCATTTGCTTCAAGAACTGAACCAGCAGATCAGCATCACAGCTTTTTCTGTTTTCTGTTCTTGTTTTTAGACTAGCAGATCAACATCACTGCATTTTCTATTTTTTGATTTTGCTTGTAGACCGGCAAATCAACATCACCGCATTGTTTATTTTTTTATTTTGCTTTTAGACTAGCAAATCAACAGCACTGCATTTTCCACCTTTTGATCTTGTTTTCAGACCATGGCGGAGCTGCTGACAGCGCGAGAAGACGAAATTTCGTCAATGGTGAATAACCTGTCGGGCTCTGTGGGTTCGATAGTGCAGCAGCGGTGTTCGAAGCTGGCTGGCAACTGGAGCCAGTCCTCCTACACTCGGAGGGCTTTGAAGGAGTTGAAGGAGCTGAAGCAGCAGCAGGAGCTGCAAATAAAAGCGAAAGCAGATCAGCAAATGGAGCTGCTGCGCACTTCTCTGCAAGCTGCCCACGACGCTGCTGCCCGCCACTCCCGCGTGCTTTCTGAGCGCGAGCTCGCGGCGCTCACGAAGCTGCACAAGGCTTTCAAGAAGGAGCTGCGGGCTCAGCACGCAGCAGCAGCAGCAGCAGCAGCAGCAGCAGCAGACACGCAGGCCGAGGCTCTCAGCGCTGCCCGCAGGTGCAAAGGAAGCTCCGGAAAGATCGTCACGGAGATGTTCTCTGCATGCTTTGCAAATGCAGGCTCGCAGGACAACTCCTCTTCAGCCCAGCCCCCCCTCTCCTTCGACTCCGACAAAATCGACGCAATTCGCAAAGAAGCTCTTGAGAAACTTGCTGCAGCTTTTGCCCGCCGCGAAGAACTCCACAAACAGGCGGAGGCGCAAAGGCTCGACCACCTCGAGAAGCACCGCCACGCAATCTTGAAGTTCATCACGGAAACTTCGAAACTCGCCGTAAGCCTCGCTGCAAGGGCCCCCCCTGCAGCCCCACTGCGCGGCAGCCAGACGCGCATGCATGCACGCATGCATGCACGCATGCATGCACGGGGGCTTCGCGGGAAGCCGAGAAATCCCCCGCCTGGAAGTGGGGCTGCGCATGCAGTGCGGTGTACGTACAGTCGGACCGCGCGCGCGGGGCGGCTACCAAAATCGCAACTCTTGCGGAAGCAACAGCAACAGCAGAAGCAAGTTTGGGGGCTCCCCTGGTGCGGCACATGGGTCTGTCCCGAGCTTTTGAAGATTTGCTGCAAGTCCAAGCGCTGCCGGACAGCACTCGAAGCAAAGTTTTGACGCTGAGACAAAAGCAGCAAGCCACTTTCCAGGCCCTCCTCGATGCCCACAACAAGAAGTTCCAACTCGCCCACTCGACCGCAGTTGTGGGCCTCAAGCGCACGTAAGTCGAACTCCACTTTTCTTCAAAAACACTCACGCCCTGCTCTCCACTTGTGGCTATTTAAAGTCACCTTAGACCTATTTCCTACAAGCCTCATCTCGCGGCAGCACTAGCAGCAGCAGCAGCAGCAACAGCAGCACTGTTACCTGCCAGCTTGGGGCGAAGACGTGCATGCAAAAGACTCTAGTTTTGTTTTATTCTGACGGCACGTCCCTCCACGGTTTCTAAATTTAAGCATGCGGTGAAGTGCTCAGCACTGTGTGTTTGTGAGCTCCACTTTATGTTGAATAAATGATGAATTATTTGACACATTATGAACTTTTTTTGTGATATGTAATTTCATTTTATGAACCAAGACCTTGACGTGTGTTGTTTAAGTTAGTTACAATTCTTTTCAGTTTCATTCCCCCCGCTTGGTCTCAGGTGGGGAGATGAATGCAGTGGAACTCTTTTATCAATTCTGCATTTGTTGTCTTTATCCGTGTACTTGTTTTTGTCTTTGTCTCCTTCTTCTCTCAGAAACAGTCGCTACATAGAGGGACTGAAACAAGCCATGTACAAACACCGAGAAGAGACAGAAGAGTTAGCCAGGCAGGCGTTGGAGAAACTCGCAGAAATCCACAAAAAAGATATCGAGGAAAGGACTCAACTCAAGACTCTTCTGGCCAATGTGCGAAATGCATTTATATATATACACATATATATATATGCGCGTGTACATATATATAATATATAATATATTTTTGTTTTATATTATATACGTATACATATGTATATATATATACTAGAACTCACCCGTTTCTAGCACTACGTTGCACAAACTAGTTTAGCATACACTCTCGTAAAGGTGGACAGGTGCATTTGTGCAATTGTTTTCTTTGAACTCGCATGACTGTGTATTCAAATCTGCAAATATGCATACTTGTGATTTCACTCCACTTCAACTTCATATATGACACATAAATATTTGCAAGGCAAACTCCGTTGTATGTTTCACAGAGCATTTCTGAAGCTTTGGTGCTGACGGCAGAGGCGGAGGCGCGCACAGAAACCTGCCAGAAGCAACTTAAACTCCTTGAGGGATATAAAAGCCATCAATATGACTCAGGGGAGCTCAAGTCCAGGCTGGAGGAGGCGGCTGCAGAGGAGCAAAGTCTGGTCAAGAGTGCACAGGTAAACAGCACTTCTGCTGCTGGCAGCGTTAGTCAACACGAAGGAACAAATACAACAATGATGAGTAACACAAATATCAGAAACACAAAAACAAAAGTTTAAGTGAAGCTCCAATTACAATACGGCGTCTGCACTTGTGCATTCGCCCGCGTACTTCTCTGATTCATGTTTGTGGCGCTTCTGCACGGAAAGGATCCTCCCAGTTCTGTATGTCTGTGGTCTTCTTGCATGCGCTGTGTTGACATGATGGGGCACAATGCTGCACACTATAAAAGTGCACGCATTGCCGGTTTATTTCGAAAGCACACTCGCGCGGGTCAACTCTTGGTGGTTGGTTGCTCATTGGGTCTATCTGCGCATGCCTCGGCTGATTGCACTTCTTCAGGATATATTCATTGGCTCTGAGAGCTTTCAACCAATCCTTCTAATGTTCAAACTTATGATGAAAGCACAATGTTTTCGTGCCACTCATGAGGCACGCCATACGATGTGGCACAACACTGGAGGTCAGCCGCTGGGAATCCAGGCCCACTTGCAGCCAATCACTTCGGGCCTCCATGTGATGAATGCTGGCTGCAGGAAGAAGAAGAATCGCGTCTGGAAGACCAGAAAACAGCCTTTGAAATGCTTGGCGCCAAGGAGATGGAGCTGGTCGAACTGCTGCATGCGCATCAGCTGCATGTCAGTGACAGCAGCCACATGGAAATCGCCGCGGCAGAGCTCCATGAAGCAGAGGTGCAAAGCGCCACAGAACGCATTACAGAGCTGCTGCTGCAGCACGCCAAGACCCAGGCCGCAGCAATATTCAGCATTGCAGTAAGCAACCCCAGCCGCAGACCGGGATTTTCTTGAAACGATCAATTCCGCAAGCGAAAGAAAAACAAGGCAGGCAGTTATGCTTTACACAATCACTGAGGGCTTGTTTAAACTCACTCAATTTCAAAGTTCCACCTGCATAGCCAAGCATTCATGCTTGCATTCTCGCCAAATGCATGCAGACTAGCGGTGCTCCCGCGGTGGAAGCCGACATTGCTGACTACTGCGCGAGCTGGGAGAAGGTGCTGGCCAGCTCAGCAGCAACCAAAGCTGAGGACCAGCAGAGACATAAAACATCCAACGCCGATCGCATGCACAGCCTCATGAAGTCCCAAGAAGCCCAAAACCTGACAAGGCGCAAGCATCAACTGCATGTATCCCATGAGATCATCGAGGCAAGCCCTGCAGAAAGCACGCACTCTACAGCTTATTTTAACGCATTTTGGTGCCTTCCATTCAACTGGCACGCTTCTTTATTTCATAAGCAGTTTAAACAACAGTTTATCCAGACTACCGGAAGTACTAAGGCCAAAACTCTGCAAAAAGCTCCACTACTTCACCTGCACACCATACAGCAAACGCAGCCACACAGCAAGGACGCGCATACAGATTTGCCCACTTGCCCAGTTGACCAGCTGCGTGTTGTCTGTTCATATTTCATTTTGCTTTGTGACCGATTGTTCTTGCACAATTCAGTTGCAACAGTACCAGGGGCCAATGGCGACAGAGAAAAGCCGATTCGTGAATGACTTATTGCATCAGCTGGCCGTGTACCAAGCGAATGCAGCTTTCGAGGCGGAGAAAACGGCTTTGGAAACGAAAAGCGGCGAAGAGCTGAGGGCCGTGGAAGCCGAGCTTGAGGAGCTCGAGGCACTGAGCAAGCTCGCTGCGGAGCCAGCAAACTTCAGCCAGAGTCCCGATGGCTCAGCAAACGCAGTCGATGGTGCTGCACAGGCTGAAGGGTCAGGAGAAACTGATGGAAAGGTTCGGGACAGCGTAGAGGATCCAGAGGCGTCCGGCGCAGAGAAGCAACTTGGGGAGGAGTCTGCTGGGGGCCCCAGCAGCAGCGGAGAAGCTGGAGAAGACGCAGCAAAGGAAGGAGGACAGGAAGGTGCTGAAGAATTGCAAAGTGGCAGAGATGCGGTGGAGGAGAAACGGCGGCAGCTGGAACTTGCGTTGGCCGCGGGAGATATAAAAGGGGCTCAGGCACATCTCGTTGAGATCTACAAGCAGCGCATGAGGTACGCCGAAGAAGAAGCTGATCGGGAAAGAATGCTGCAAGACCAGCGCACGCAGCAGTTGCTGCAGGAGAGGCGGCGGCGGCTGCTTGAGAAGAAAGCCCGGCTGGAGGCGGAACGGCAGCAGGCCCTGGAAGAACTGGAGAAAGCGAAACAGGAAAAGCTTGAAAAGCTGCAGCAAGAGCTGCAGCAAAACCTGGTGGACTTTTCCATAGAGTTCGAAGTCGAGCCGCACGAACTTGACAAGCTCTCTCGCCAACTCTGGACAGAATCCCACCAGCGCTACCAGAAACAGCTGCGGGAGCTTGAAAAGAGGCATGCACAAGACACGGAAAGTGGCTACGAAGCATTCCTCAAGGAGTGGGAATCAAACCACGACGGAGAAGTCGAGGTGAGGCTACACAGCGCAGGCAGCAGCTCTTGTTTGCACGTAGATATTTAATAAATTTTAACTGTGAACGAAATTATACTGGAAAATTTTATGTGAAAATGTGCAGTTCACCACGGTGCAAATGTAGTAAGCAGTCATGTAAGCAGAGCCTGAGAGAAGTTGAACACGATAGAGGAAGAGAAGCTTTGCTGCTTTTCCTGCTGGCCACAGGCTGAGCTTCAACTTAGGCATGTGGCCTGGCGGGCAGCTGCGAGAGAATTGGAAGACCACCAGCTGCACGAAAAGCACGAACTCGAAGAGTCATGGCAAACGGCCCTGGAAGGTGTGTACTAGAGTAGAACAACATTTTTCCAATGCGTTTTACAAATGTGCTGAACACGAACTTTCGACAAGTGCAACTCATTCGTGGCTGTGTAATCTTTTGCATGCCTCCCTTTTACGGGATTTTCTTGAACCAGCATTGAATCTTGCATGTAGAGTGGCAGCAGCATACTTAGGCAGCATATCTGTATGTTCTTGAATTTGTTTAAGTTACGCCTTTCCACATTGTCTCCCATGAAATTTAATTGGCCCCTGAACTTCTTGCCTGCCTTTTTCAAATTTCCATACCTGACTATAGGCAAATCTTTTAGACAAGGGAATCGCTCCAGACAACACTGTTTCCCCTAGTGATCTTTCCTCAGCTGATACCACAATACGCACTGTCTGTTTGTGGCCAAACATCATGTCTTCAGGAAAGCTTAAAATGTTGGCAGCAAAGGGTAGCGAAGCAGCGAAGGAGTACCTTGAAGAGATAAAAGAAAGTCAGTTCATCAAAAGAGGCTCGCATGCAGCATTCTGAACATTCTGCATGCAGCCGCCAGAGGTCTTTTAAGTGAATCGTGAACGGCTTTGTGCGTACATGCTTCTACTTATGGTAAACAAAGCTTCTGTGCTTAATCTGACTGCAGAAAGGAAGCAAATGAGTGAAGTCTGGCAGCAGCGCTTCCAGCAAATTCGGCAGGAGCAAGCGGAGGCCCAGAGAGCCATCGAGGAGAAACAGGCAGCGTACAAGGCTCAAGTAGGAGAGCGCATCAAAGCCGTTGAAGTAAGGGCAATGACACGAAATCAAACTGCTATTTTTTGTTTTTTAAAGCGACTGCATAGAGCTTTTCAAGTCAAAAAGCACGCGTGTACACATGTCCATGCACTAACCACTTTTGGATACAAGGAATGAGTCCAAATACCGTTTGCCAAGTGCCCCATGAATGAAACATCAGCAAACCTTGGCTTCTATACAGCATCCGTAGATGCTTGAAATATCACTAATTCCAGTGTAAAGTTTCACCGAATTTCTTTTCTGGTTTTTTTTCCTCCCTAGAAAAGTACATAGTACGAAGACGCTTGAAACAAAGTTTCACCAATTTTTTCTCTAAATGTTTTCCCCACTAGAAAAGTGCATATATGGTACTGCAGTTGGTACTTAGCATATGTAACACCTGAAATATTTACAGGAGCAGTGGGCACAAAAGCTGCGGGATCTCAAAGACGAGGAGTGGACGAAGCTTCAGCAAGTGCAGGAACTCGCGGAGGCGGGCATAAAAGAGCGCCGAATGATGATTGCTGCTGCCACGGAAGCAAGAATGAAGGCAAGTAAAGGGGAAGGAGACGAGGCCGGGGGCTCCACGGGGGATACAATGCACGACCGGTTGCTAAATGAGCTGACAGCAGATCTGCGTCAGCTTGAACGCGTTCTTCAAGCCGAGAAAAATCGCCAGCAAGCAAAATATCAGGAAAAGCTTCTCAAGAGGATGCAACAAAGAAGACGCCGCATCCTAATTGACGCAGCGAAAGAGCAGAAAGCAATGGCTCAAGATGCTCTGGAGCATCAGGCCCAACTACTGAGCCAGCAACTCCATCAGCAACGCTTTCTCTTTAGTCGAGCAAAAACTAAACAGGTAAGTCACCCCAATTTCACAGGCTGCTGCGCGGCTGCTTGTTTCCTGTACCAGTTCCACTTAACACGTAACACATGCAAATACTGAAGCAGGTCAAGTAGCGACGCAACTCTGAATTCCACCATAGACCTTAAGCATGTGCTCTTATCGAAAAAGACAAAAATATACTCACCAGTTCCCACATTTTTTCTAGCGTTTAAGCTGCCGTTATTGAGTGTTCCGCTCGCACTGCACCAAAGGTGGCCCTCAAGTTCTCTCACCAGTGGCTTGTACAAGCCCGGCAAATGCTGCGAGCTCGCGCTGAAGGTGCTGAAGAAGATGAACAGAAGTTGCACGAGCTGTCGGAGAGGGAGTTTATGAAACGCTGCAACCTCATGCGGTAGGCAGCTGTTTGTGTATGTCCCGTGCACTTCCAGAGTCAAGAGCTGTTAGGTACAACGAGCAGCACTCACAATCCCAAAATTGTATTGGTCTGAGCTAAAATGAAGGCGACTTGAAATATTCTTCGGATTAATAAGCTTCTCTCTGGTTCCGTTCTGTTTTGCGAACACTCCAGCAAGACGCTTGCGAAAAGCATGAAGCAAGTTGAGTCTCTCGTTCGGGGTCTTATGCCGGACAAGAGTTCGCGAGACACCCCAAGAGGTGATGAAGGTCAAACAATAAGACAGGGCCGGCAAGGCCAAGCAACAAGACTGGCAGTGTGCCTTCAAGAGGTAAGGAACCGGAAGCCACCGGCTCACCACACCTTAAAGAGATCGGCTATCAGAAATATACACCAGCAAGTAATGTAAAAAACAACGCTTGCTCTGCAACTGCCTATTTTTGCATCTGATATTGACGACTATAGAGCGACTCTGCAATGCTACTGTCGCGCAGGTATCAACTTCTGCCACGCAGCTCAACGTCGTTCGACGCAAATTCCTCAACTCTCGCACATGAAGCACTCTTGTACAATTTTGCAGTAATTCTAAGCCAGCCTCAACGGTGCTCAGCACCTTGTGCACCTGAGTCCTGTTTCGTATTATAGCGTAGTCCTTGGCTTTTGTTTACACTGATTTCCCAGGCAGCTGAAATTGCGCGAGTTATTCTTGTGCCCCTGACGAGAGCCACGTCCTCCATAAAGCCTAGACTGTAGTCCATATTTACACTGACATTCCCTGGTGGCAGAAACTGCGGGCGTCAACTATGTGACCCTGCCGCCACAGCCTATACGCGACGCAATTGGTGCACCCGATTGGTTTTGCTGCAAGCGTCACTTTAGTGCTATCTGGCAGCTAGGCATTCTACTTGGCAGTGAGCCGTGTCTACTTACCTCTTTTGTTTTCCTTATATAAAAACGTTTACTTTTTAATTGTCAAAAGTTTGCGTAGCTTTCTACATAAACAATCTCTATGCTCTTGACTTCGCTTCAGAATAATAATCTACGCCGCTGCCTCAGTCACGCTGGTACAAAAAGAGGCTACAGAGCGACAGTACTCCTCAAGTTGTAAAGCACGTCATGCTGACATGAAAATCTGCACGCTTTAGCTTGCTATTGTTGAAGATATCATAAATGAAAAATGATGCGGGCCTTCAGCACTCCCAGCCACAGTGCAGTTAACTAAACGCGTCGTTTGCAGACCTGGAGGCCAGCGCAGCAAAGCCTTCTGTTCATATAAAGGCACCTTCTGGTCACTCCATCCCGTCATTTCCGTGCCAGACCTCCACAACGAAATTTTTCACCAATTTAAATAGTTGTCCGCGCGGGCTAGGTCGATAAGGTGGAGGCAAGCATAACCTCCACCAGCTACACATAACAGAAATGTGCCGTCGGAGCTAGATTCATGAACTCATACGCTCGAATTCATTGTAGTTGGCCACGAGATATATTGTCTGTGATACGTCGGGCATGAGATATCTCGCTTTGCTGGACAGGTACGAACATCTCGCAGCGAAACAACTCATTGGGTTCCAGTAAATGCCATAAGTTATATTCATAATCTAAAATATTGTCAAATGAATCGTATGGCATCGGCCCAAAACCCAAACGCTTTGCAATCACATTGTGTTGCGCTGCATGCTGCTTGTGCGGAAGGACAACCTGGACATCACACTGACGCCTGCATTCACTTTAACATGGTTACAGGCATTTTCCTGTTCAAAAAAATTGATTGGTTCGTGAATGTGAAGTTTATTTTGTTTAGCACATTTGAGAACAACAGAAGCCGCGACAGTCTGGCTTGCGAGTATGCGCCAGTGGAGGGGCTGTCGCTCTGGGGCCATCGGAAAAATCTGACTTCCTCAGATGAACTGCGGGGACAACTTTTCTTGCAAACATTTTCACTCACTTATATTTATCATTAAATTATCACCCACATTAGATCCTCTAGACACATGTTGAACATCCTTGCTGTCTCTCTGCATGCTAGGGTTACCTCGGCTGCTACGATGGATACACAATACCAGTGACTCTACATCATTCTGGAAAGTTCAGATATCCGTAGCTCATGCAGACTGGGAGGAAACCCCGCCGCGCATACAGAGGGCAAGGGAGACACGTGAGTTTGAATCGCCTTACGGACTTTCGCGCTAAAGAAATGAGGGCGAGAAGCCTCCTCTCCTCCTTTTTTACCTTCGCTGCATGCCTACTTCCACAGACAGCCTGGACATGGTGCCACTTAGATGGCTTTGCACTAGGCAGGGGAAAAAGGTTGTATCTGCTGAAAACTGGAACTGCACTTGACTGCTCAAGCGCCTGCAAAGCGGTGTCCCGTTGTACTCATTGGTCTTTTGACAGCGGAAGGCACTATTGTATTTTGAGAAGCGAAGACCCCACAAACAAAATACTCATCCGCAAGCAGGATGATGCCATCTCAGCAACAAAGGACTGCTTACAGGCGCTTTCGTGTACGTCGTCTAGCACAAATTAGCTGACTAGAGCTATGGACTCTACTGAATGTACAGTCTGCCGATGTAACGATCGAACGGAAACTGTTCTAGAATTACCTATGCATCAGCTTAGTTTGCCTCCCCCGCACGAAAAAGGCTCTCTATGCAATTTTTGCTGCACAAGAAACTCTTCCTGTCTTTGATGTTGGTTAATTTAGTGACAAATGGAGGCAAGTCCTGCTTTTCTGATGGGTGGATAATCTCTCCAACTGAAGCTAGCGGCATTCCACCAGAACAAGAGCATGCTTCTGCCCTTCTTCGTAGTGATACTGCGTCCAGCGCAGAAGGCTGCCAGCGCCTTTGCCGGGGATCCGGAGAACGCTGCTTGCTGTGGGAATGGGATGTGCTACAGAAGCATTGCCGATTATGGGGGACGGGCATCACTCTACGCAGAGTGGACAACCTCCCTTTGGGCTTGTCGGCGTACTCGTCTCCTTTTGATGAAGATGAGCCTATTGACACTACAGGTTCTCAAAACAAAGACGAAAGAATGAGGAAGAGACTTGAATCGATGAGGGCCGTTGTGGGGCCAAGTGCTTGTGCAGAGGAATCATTCGTGCAATTCCGCGGAGGCAGTGAAGATGTATTGCGTGCCTCGCAATGCACGTTCCCTACAGGTACAGAAAGTGACTCCGTTCAAAGCTCGGTGTAATGCAGCGCGCATTTTTGAAGGAGCATTCTTTGCAAATATGAGCTTGATGTGTTTGATGCCGTAGAAATCCAACACGGTTGGATACAGTAATGCCGAATCTCGAGCGGCTCTTGCATTAATCATACATGACAGTTAGCCAATCACTGTATACTTCTTAGAGATAATGGACAAAGCGTAGGGCTGTGGAATGCCGAACCTGACGAACATAAAGCATTAGCAGCACCTCGGAACTAGCATTTAGAACTCAATTATTTTTATTGGTTACTCGAGCACGAGCACGCACAGCTCTAAAACTTTCTTAAGCCTCTGCGGGGCCTCCTGTACGAAGAAATCAAACAGGCTTCCAAAACGAAAGACAAAAGAGACCTTGTGCGTGTCTGCTCAGTAAGATCGTTTCCGTGGCTAGTCATGGAGAAGTTTGTAGTTGGCACCTCTACTGCGACAATAAAAGATGTCGGATCGTCATTTTCATACGATGGTAGAGTCGACGGGCGCAACAAGTATGCCGTCATATTGAAATCAGCTGCAAGTACATTAAAATACGAGGAAGCGGATAACTCCATGACGCAAATATACCATAACGCCCTACCCACAACGGCAATGTCAGGCGTTCTTGTTGGAGTTGACAGCAAAACCCCTTATATGAATGCTACAACGGACAGAGTCGCTTCCATAAACGAATGCCAAACACTGTGTAAAAATACGAGCGGATGCAAGTTCTTTACATTTTACATCGACGGGCGTTCTGGCACAAACTGCGTTCTCAAATCTACCGTGCGCCTGAATGAAGCATTTATCCATCCTGTTGCCGTTACTGGAGACAAAACAAATACGACAGCTCTAGCAAGTCAGTATGCAGGATTAGTTGGGCCCTGTTAAGATTACACTATCCTGCTCCCCTCCCCATTAGAATTATTACCACTGACATAATTTATGTTAATTCTAAGTGGAGAAACGAGACCTCATGTGCTATTACGAAGACCACGAGCAACTGTGGAGTGGTATGTTACCCTATTGCTTTTGTGCCTCTGCTTTGCCCGCAGTGCGCGGTATGAAATTCGGCTATGAAATGAAGAGCAGCACAATCGTTGCACCCTATAAGACTTCGTCTTCAGGTAATACGTACAGTGGACTCCTCACGACGAGCTCACGCGTGGATCAGCTGGCGAAAGAGGCGTGTACTCTGCTTGGGACTAACGGATACGCAGTTATAGACTATATGAGCCGGACGGCTCATGCAGTCCCGGCAAGCGATGCCGTGGAGAGATACATGCCCAGTTTCAACTACATTGACTGCAGCAAAGTAAACTGAACTGTTTGGATTATTGTGTTGGGCCTCCTATTATGTGGTCACCGGCCTCTTATGTTTAGACAGTGTTTTTCTTCCTGGGTTCTAATAACCCAGGAAGAAAGACACTGTCTACACATAAGGGAGTGTTCCAGCCCTATCTGTACAAGGTATTTCGGCTTATCCTTACAGATTATCTTAGCAAAGGATTTTTTGAGGTCCATACGCGCGCTACGTCATCCGCATTAAGACCCAAGAGTGAGCTGACACAGTGCAACATTCATTCTTCCTACACAGTACACCACATCGGGCCGCTACACGCTATTTTAATTCATATGCTGTGAAACCGCATCCGACAATTTCCCATTTAGTGAACAATGGATTGCAAGAGGCAACTACGGAACCTCTATGCACTGCGAAATTAAAGAGATGCGTGGAGGAACCCAGTGCGACAAGGGTTGTACGAACCATAGTATCAACGAGCGTGGTCGCAGGCACTGATGTGAGAATTCCGTTGTACATGGGAACCCTCACCACCGGTGAAGTTCAGCCACTAGTCACAGGGCTAGAGAAGGGAATCCCGTGCATATTGCAGTAGTGCTGCTTAGTTGAGATTCCTTCGGGCTTCTTCAGCTGTTGTTTACGATAAAAATATCAGGTGTTTTTTTGGGCGAACAGTCCTTCGCTTGCCTTCGCATGAAGCGCGTTGCTAACCATGCCCGCAACTGCGAGACAGATTTAGTGGGTGCACAGACTCCCTGATTTTATGTGCCAATAAGCGCATCCTCATCCACGGCCTCACTTGCAATGTACGCCAACTGTGAGCTAATTTTCCTTTTGAGTTCTTCTTCGCGTACGTCATAATTTGGGCACTTTGTCTGCATTGCGTCGTAGCTATTCAACCAGATACAGTGCATACGCTATTTCTCAGGAAAGTCCTAAGCTGCTTTTCTGTTTCTGTCTCATCACTGGACTATGGCTGGGAGCGAAGCAGATGATTGAGGAATTATGTCTGTCGTATTGGTATGGCATAAGCAGCAGCCGCTTGGGCTCCGTGAAGGGAATCGATAT